CGGGAGCGCCACCGCGCTCCCAAGCGGCGCACTGTAGCAGTGCGCCACCGGGCCAGCCCTCTTATTTTGCTTTTAATCTCCACTGCTAATCAGATAGGATGAAGCATGGTTTCCAACAAGATAATGAATAAGTGGAGGTCTACAGGCATGTTCTGAGATGAGGGTGGCACCAAGGTAAGAACGACTCGTGTGTAATCCCATTGAGTGGAGGTGCAACACCCTTAAAGTACTCTCCCCAACACAGAAACATCGTAAGCATTCATTCTGTGCTAGGCAGCCTGGGCAATGCAATATGTCCCAGATACTCCAAGCCCTTGAAGGGATGACAATCCCATGGGAGAGACCAATACAAATACAATGAACTCCACCTGCTACAAGGATACCTGGGGGATCACTAACATGGCAGAAGCCCCTGAGCTAGGGAAGGGAGAACTGAACTGCTTCCCTTACTGTATATCAGCACGTTACATTCATGATCTCATGTAACAGCTAACATTTCTTACACATTTACCATGTGATGAACTCATTTAATTTTTATAATTCTATTATTATATCCATTCTATAAATAAGGAAAATGGGGCTTTGAAAAGCCAAGTATTTTGCTCAAGGTTGCAAATTAGCAAACGAAATTTCCGGGGTTGGAACCCAGAGAGTCTGAGTCTTGTCTTATGCCCTGTATGATCTGAATCTCCTACTCTTGTGGGCTGCTGGACTCTCAGGTTGCAAATTAGCAAACGAAATTTCCGGGGTTGGAACCCAGAGAGTCTGAGTCTTGTCTTACGCCCTGTATGATCTGAATCTCCTACTCTTGTGGGCTGCTGGACTCTCAGCAAACCCCTGTGTTGGACGATCAGTCAATATCAGACAAAAGCAGTCAAGTGGGCTCTGGGAATGGAGGAGTGTGGCTATGCATGGTGGAATCATGGAGGAGGCAAATATGAAGTGGGGTCTCTGAGTTCTACCCCAAGGCATGAAACCAGGAATGTCCCACTGGTGGTGTGGGAACTCTGGGGATGCTGACATCCTAAAGGAAACTGGCTGGACAAATGCTGCCCTTCTGGCCCCCAGCGGCATTAGAGTCTAAAGAATGTACAAGCAGAATGTGAAGCCAAATGCCTCACTACTTCATCATCCTTCAAGGGCCAAAGATGGGTGATTCATTATTTTATATTTTTTAGACTGCAATGTAAATTTCTCAAGAGTGTGTCTTTCTCATGTGCTTAGAACATCTGAACTTGCTTTGTATATATATATATAGAGTACTTAATACATGCAAATCAAGTAAAACTGTGTTGATTTGATATGCTATGCTTGATATTAATATGTGCATTGCAACAGTTGACTTACAAGTTAGGTATTTCAGCACTATAGACTTTGAACTGAAGGTTCTTATTTCAGCAATAACAGTCCACAAGTATAGCATTCTTAGTGGTCACTAAATATGCTAAATATCCAGAGCCTGACATTATATAATTATTGGCCCCAGAAACATTCTCAATATCTTTTTCTGTTATTTTATAGGTTTTGGTTTATGTAAGCAAATCTATAATTTCAGACAATAAAGCATTAAAAAACTTACTAATATTTAAAAGCATTAAGATTAATTTCCCTGTAATTATAATGAGCAAAACATAAATGTGGGAAGAATACTGAATACTGTTTCAAGCAAGATTTAAAGAAATATAAGCCTCTGGGGGGAAAAAAATCATACACTTCTTGCTCACTTCCACTGTTAGTAATTCCTGGTTAATCTAATCATTGTTTTCCTTCCAGGCCCCCCAAAGAGATTCTTATCTAAAATATTGGCTTGTTTGGGTCCTCTCTCTGACTCTGAGACTTCAAGTCAGCTCCTGGTACTGCTAGGTGCTAGAATCCCCGGAGCCTTCTTCATTTATAGAAAATAACAGTTTTTTGATGTCAAAGAAAGGCTTTCTCTACTTGCTAATTCACACTCAGTTTTATCCTACAATGGCTGTTATGCTTCTGCGCATAAAGGAGAAACTGACTCTCAGCTCTATCCATCTGATGTTTCTGTTCCTTTAGCTCAGCAAATCTGAAAGTGTGAGTGAGTGCTTAGGACAGCCTCTTCCTTCTGATGGGCCTTTGGGGCAGCTATTTTTCCCTTTACCTGAAGGTGTCCACTGAAGAGAACTGAACTAAAACCCTCAGAAGCAGAACGATGTCTACGAGATCTCAGTGGTTTCTCCCTACTCTTCATGTTCATGGTACCTGGCCACTCTTTCCTCTGTCCTTGACATTTTCTGAAATTAGCTTTATCAACTCTTGCCCATCACCTTTTCTTCTTGTGGTGGTGGTTTAGCCACACAGCCTTTATAAAAGACAATCTAGCAAAACTCAATCATCAATGTCTTTGAGACTCTTTCTGTACAAGTTGCCCAACTGCTTTCAGAGACAACTCAGTTCCTCCAGAACTTTCTAGAAAGCTGCTGTGAAAGAAAGTGAAGGAAATTAGCTCTTCTTCAGCTAATGCTATGAAACATCTCAATTGTATCTAAAAAATCTTGCTTTGTTCCAGAACTATTGACTGATGCAAAGAAAAATATTTTTTGCCATGTACTCTCATAGCACAATAATAGACTATGAGTTGGGAAACTCTAAGCTGATATATAAAATTCACCAACATCTTCTTTGCCAGATACAGGTAGTGTACTGCATTAAACATTTCTTTCATATTTTGTTCTTTGATTCTTCAACATCTGGAGCCTTCCTGACCCTGGACAGACTGCACCTCCTAGGGCTAGCTAATCCCTAGAGATGATAAATTCACCTCAAGCTATTTACATACCACCAACCAATACAAACCAACCGATCACAATCCCACACCCCCAGCCACCTCCTCCATCAGGGGCTCACACTAACCACCCCAGGGCCAGGTACCAGCCAAACCAGAGACATCACCTATGCCCCAGAGCCCACTGAGATTATTCAAATTAGTTGACCCTACGCCTGCCTACTCTGCCTTGCCTGTTCCTTCCAGGGAAACCACAAGAAAGGCTTTTGCCCACGTTTTTCCTGCTCCCTCTGTCTCCTGACCAACCCTAATGCTTCCCCATGTGGCCCCCATGGTGTGGCATGCCCTCTTCTCTTGGGATCTGTGAGTATAACGAATGGTCTTTTCAATAGCAGTCATCGCTCCATCTGTTGGCTTCACCATATGTATGAAATAATAAAATCTATATTTTAAACCATGTACATAAAGAGAAAGGGACAGCAAAGAGGACAGCCCGGCTCTGGCATTCTGGCCATTATTCAAATGGAGATGGATGAAATGCAGTTGCTCTGTCAGCTATTGTTAGCAAAACTACCACTTTAGCTGTTTCAACAAAAAAGCATGACTTTTCTATAAAGCAATGTATTGCACTGCATAAGAAAGTACTCCATAGAACCAACCAGAAACAGCTGTGATGAAAGGGTTTGCATTAAGATACCACATGTTATAAAAGGTGATGAGGTTGTTAGGGATCCTTGACTTCTAAAGCACAAATTGAGTACAACCGTAAAAATGGCTTATAAAGAAAATAAGCCCTGTTCTCACCCAAACAATAATACTGAAGTTTTATATCAAATGCTCTGAATTCTAAATATCCCATTAAAACTGCATTGCAGGATATTCTGTATGAAAAGCAAAGTCCCTATGCTACTGTATTCTTATTTAAAGCTTACTTCTGTCTCTATCTCTGGAGCAAAAGCTGTTCAAAAGCAGCTTTATGTGACATCTTATGCCTAGCAGCTGGCACACAGTAGGTGCTAAATATTTATTTACTGACCAAAGAAATGTTTCTGATCATCTTTGATTAACAGTGTGAGAGGTGACATGAGACATTGAAGATGCCCATTTAAGGGATTAAATAAATAGGTGAATGATTTCAGAGGTGACAATTAAAAGCTACTTCCTCTGGCCCAAACGACTCCCACTACATTTTGTCACCTCTTAGAGAGAAATCTAAAACATTTATTTGGTGGCAGTGGACATCTTGGCATCTCCTGGCCTTTAGCTGACTGCTAAACCCTGTCCAACTTTGCAATCCTTCAGCCAAGAGCTAGTCATTAGTGAGCATTTCCATGGGTCTGGCATGTACTGTGATGAGTGGCTGAGCTCACAGGGGTGACTCAGGTGCCATTTCTGCATGGTGACACTTACCAAGGGCTCTAGCTCCTTGCGGTCTATGAGGTTCATCTCTGTGACAAAGTAATAGAAATGTTTGTAGCAGGTATTGACATGGGCCTCCGCACCCATCACAATGACCCGGTCGAAGTGGTGGATGTACACGTGGACAAAGACCCGGAAAAGGCGGCACAGGATCTTCTTGCAGATCTGAAGGAAGTTCTTTGGGAAGGGAACACCTAGGGAAGAAAAAAAAAAATAGGAATCAAAGCATGATGTGAAAGCTCATTTTCCTCTTACCTCTAATATAAGAAAACTGGTAAGAGGATGGTGATGCTACAGGGAGACTGGCATTCCCTGTCACAGGAGTACTAGGGAATGGTGGGGACTATAGCTAATTGCAAAGCACCTTCCCATCTCCTTGTCAAAGGGAACAGCCACTGCACAACTCCAGCCAGCAGTGGACGTATGGGGATGGAGGACTAGTGTTGTTAGAGCTTCTGATTTTTCTTTCTTTCTTTTTTTTTTATTGCAGCATAATTGATTGTACATGTTTGTGGGGTACAGAGTTGACTATCAGTATTTGTGTATAATATGTGATGATCAAATCAGGAAATTAACATATTCATCCTTGCAAAACGTAATCATTCTGTGTATCCATTACCCAATTTCTCCCTAACTCCCCTCCCTCTCCCTCTTTCCCACCTCTAGTAACCACAGTTCCGTTCTCTCCTTCTGAAAGTTCAACGTACTACTGTGATTGTTTATTTCCGTCCCTTCCTCCCTTTCTTCCTTTGCTCCCACTTATAGCTGAGGACATGCAGTATTTCTCTCTGTGTGCCTGGCATGTTCCACTTAACATAATTTTCTCCAAGCTCACCCATGCTGCTGCAAGTAGCAGAATTTCATTCATTTTTATGGCAGAATAGTATTACATTGCATATATATACGTGTGTGTGTGTGTGTGTGTGTGTGTGTGTGTGTGTGTGTGTGTGTATACACACACCACATTTTCCTTATCCACTTGTCTGTTGATGGACATTTAGGTTGGTTCCATATCTTGGCTATTATAAATAGAGCTGCAATGAACCGGGGGTAGAGGTATCCCTTCGACATGATAACTTTCATTCCTTTGTGTATATACCCAGCAGTGGGATTGCTGGATTGTATGGTGGGTTCTATCTGCAGTGGGTGAGAAAGCTCCATAATGTTTTCCAAAATGGCTACACTGAGGGGGTTTCTGGTCGTCAAGATGGCAGAGTAGACAGTTCCTGGCGTTACTCTCTCCCCAAAATCAATGAATCTGCATCTATTAAAAAGCAACAACAGGAGGCCTGAGAGCCGCGCTGGAACAGGCAGGAGCCACGCACCACGGGACCCCCGGCCCAGGCTAGTTCCTGCTGCCCAGAATTGGCAGTCCCTTCAGGATCCAGGCCAGGCATCAGGGTGGAATGAATGGACTGTGATCCCCCTGCCATAATGACTAAACACCAAAGGAAAAATACCAGAAATATGAAAAATCAAGAAAGAATATCACCAAGAAAGGAAAATAATAACTCTCAAGCTCTAGATCCTACAGAGCAGGAACTTCTTGAAATGGCTGACAAGGAATTTAGAGCAACAATTCTAAGGAAACTAAATGAGATACAAGAAAATTCAGTTAGACAACACAATACAATGAGAAAAAATATACAGGATCTGAAAGAAGAAATGTACAAAGAAATTAATGTCTGAAAAAGAATGTAGCAGAGCTTGTGGAGCTGAAGGATTTATTCAATGAAATAAAAACACAACAGAAAGTCTAACCAGCAGGCTGGAACAAGCAGAAGACAGAATTTTTGACCTTGAAGACAGGCTGTTTGAATTAACACAGGCAGACCAGAAAAAAGAAAAAAGAATTTAAAAAATTGAAGAAAATCTAAGAGAGATAATAGACAATTTTAAGTGCTCAAATATCAGAATCATGGGTACTCCAGAAGGGGAAGAAAAAGGAAATGGCATTGAAAACATATTCAATGAAATAATAGCAGAAAACTCAGGTACAGGGAAAGTCACAGATCTTCAGATTCAGGAGGTCAAAAGATCCCCAAACATATTCAACCTCAAAAGTCCTCTCCAACATATGTTATAGTTAAACTGGCAAAACTCAAAGACAAAGAGAGAATCTTAAAAGCCCCAAGAGAGAAGCAGCAAGTCACCTATAAGGGAGCCCAAATCAGACTAACATCAGACTTTTCATGAGAAACCCTAAAAGTCAGAAAAGAATGGGATGATATATTCAAAATACTAAAGGACAAAAATTGCCAGCCAAGAATACTTTACCCAGGAGGCTATCCTTCTGAAATGAAGAACAAATAGTATATTTCTCAGACAAACAAAAACTGCGGGAGCTCACTACCACACAACCAGCCTTACAAGAAATTCTCAAGGAAGTACGGGGTTTGATACCTGGAAAACAACCATCACTGCCATGAATACTCAAGAAAGAACAAAACCTACCAGCAAAACAAAAATGCCAACAATAAAGACAAAAAATAGTTTTATTTACCACTCCAAGAAACCAACAAATACAGAAAACAAACAGAAAATCAGAAAGAAAAGATACTTAAGATGTCTAAACAAAAATCAGTAAAATGCTAGGAGTAAATCAGCACCTTTCAGTAATAACTCTAAATGTAAATGAAGGGCCAAGCCCGTGGCGCACTTGGGAGAGTGCGGCACTGGGAGCGTAGCAGCGCTCCCGCCGTGGGTTTGGATCCTATATAGGGATGACCGGTGCACTCACAGCGCTCACTGGCTGAGCGCGGTGCGGCCGGTCTCAAAAAAAAAAAAAAAAAAAAAGGACCAAAAAAAAAAAAAGTAAATGAATTAAATTCCCCACTTAAATGACACAGACTGACTGACTGGATTAAAAAGATGGACCCAACAATATGCTGCCTTCAAGAGACTCACCTCACCTATAAAGACACACATAGACTAAAAGTGAATGGATGGAAGAAGATATACCATGCAAATAGAAATGAAAAACAAGCAGGAGTAGCTATTCTTATATCAGATAAAATAGACTTTAAACCAAAAACCATAAAAAGAGATAAAGAAGGCCACTATATGATAATAAAAGGATCTATACATCAAGAAGACATAACAATCATAAATGTATATGCACCCAATGTTGGAACAGCCAGATTTATAAAGCAAACACTATTAGATCTAAAGAATGACATAGACACTAGCACCATAATAGCAGGGGACCTGAACACCCCACTTTCAACATTGGACAGGTCATCTAGGCAAAAAGTCAATAGAGAAACACAAGATCTAAACATTTTAGACTAATTGGACCTGGCAGATATCTACACAACATTCCATCCAATAACCTCAGAATATTCATTCTTCTCATCTGCTCATGGAACATTCTCCAGGATAGACCACATGTTAGGTCACAAAGCAAGTCTCAACCAAAATTTTTTTTTCCTTTTTGTGTTTTTTTTCCTGACCAGTAACGGGATCGCAACCCTCGGTGTCGCACCCGGATACCGCGACTGGCAACGGAATTGCAACCCTCGGTGTCGCGCCCGCACCGCGCTCAGCCAGTGAACAGACCGGTCTCTATATGGGATCCGAACCCTCAGTGGGAGCGCCACCGCGCTCCCAAGCGCCGCACTCAACTGAGTGCGCCACCGGGCCAGCCCTCAACAAATTTTTTAAAAATGGCATTCTTCCATGTATTTTTTCAGATCAAAATGGATTAAAATTAGAAATCAATAATAAATGTAACTCTGGAAACCATACAAACACATGGAAATTAAACTTTCTACTTAAGGACAGATGGGTCCAAAAAGAAATTAAACCGAAAATCAAAAAAAAATTCATGAAACTAACGAAAATAGTGACACATCATAAAAAAAACCTGTGGGATACTGCAAAAGCAGAACTAAGGGGGAAATTTATCACATTAAATGCTTACTTCAGAAGAATGGAAAGATGGCAAATAAGCAACCTAACACTTCACCTTAAAGATCTAGAAAAACCAGAACAATCCAAACCCAAAGTTAGAAGATGGAAAGAAAGAATTAAGATCAGAGCAGAACTAAGTTAAATAGAAACCTGAAAAACAATACAAAAGATCAATGAAACAAATAGTTGGTTTTTTGAAAAGATAAGTAAAATTGACAAACTTTTAGCAAGGCTAACTAAGAAGAGAGAAGACCCAAATAACAAAAATTAGAAATGAAAAAGGTGATATTACAATTGATACCTCAGAAATAAAAGGAATCATTAGAGACTCCTATAAACAATGATATGCCAACAAATTTGATAATTTGGAGGAAATGGATGAATTTCTGGACACATAAAAACACCAAAATTGAGCCAAGATGATATGGAAAATCTTAACAGAATAATAGCAATAAAAGAGATGAAAGCTGTTATCAGAAGACCCCAACAAAGAAAAGCCCAGGACCAGATAGGCTCACTGCAGAGTTCTAGCAAACCTTCAAAGAGGAACTGATACCAATTCTCTACAAACTATTTCAAAAGGTTGAAACAGAGGCCATTCTCCCAAACTTACTCCATGAGGCAAAATTCACCCTGATACCAAAAACAAAGATACATCAAAAATAGAAAACTATAGGCCAATATCATTGACGAATATAGTGCAAAAACCCTCAATAAAATACTAGCTAACAGAAAACATCAACACATACACAAAATTATCCACCATGATCATGTGGGATTCATCCCAGGGATGCAAGGTTTGCTCAACATATGCAAATCAATAAATGTGATACACAACATCAATAAAAGCAAAGACAAAAACCATATGATCATCTCTATAGATGTTGAAAAAGCATTTGACCAAATTCAACATTCATTCATGATAAAGACTCTCTACAAGTTAGGTACAGATGGAAAGTATCTCAACACAATGAGAGCCATATATGATAAGTCTACTGCCAATATCATCCTGAACAGGGAAAAGCTTTCAGCTTTTTTTCCTTAAGAACAGGAACTAGACAAGGATGCCCACTCTCACCACTCCTATTCAACATAGTGTTGGAAGTACTAGCCAGAGCAATCAGAGAAGAGAAAGAAATAAATGTCATCCAGATTGGAAGAGATGAAGTCAAACTGTCCCTGTTTGTGGATGATATGATCCTATATATTGAAAACCCTAAAGCCTCTACAAAAACACTCTTAAGAGTTGATAAATGATTTCAGCAAAGTTGCAGGATACAAA